ATTTCCCTCCTCCTGACTCCTGTCAGCTGACCTCTGCCCCCCACTCTCCCGCAGGCTGCCAAGTTCCCTGCATCCCCCGACTGGCGCATCCCAGCGCCCGAGAGCCGCCCCGACGCCCCGGCTCCCCCTGTCGGCCCCTCGGCTTCCCCCTCCTCGGCCACCGCCAGCCCTGGCTCCGGCGAGGGGCCCCGGGGAACTGCGCCGGCCCCCACGCCACCCACTGCCGAGGGCCTGGAGCGCAAGGAGGGCAGCGCCAAGAAGGCCAAGGTGCGGCCGCCCCCCCTGAAGAAAACCTTTGACTCGGTGGACAAGTGAGTTATCTCAGGGTGGGGGGGGGTCTTGTCAGGGGACCCAGGTGTCTGGGAGGGCCTCCCTGTGACCCCTCCCTCCCCCGCACTGCCGCCCCCCAGCAGGGTCCTGTCAGAGGTGGACTTTGAGGAGCGGTTCGCGGAGCTGCCCGAGTTCAAGCCCGAGGAGGTGCTGCCCTCGCCCACGTTGCAGTCGCTCGCCACCTCACCCCGCGCCATCCTGGGCAGCTACCGCAAGAAGCGCAAGAACTCCACCGGTCAGTGGGGGCATGGCGGGTGGAGTGGGGGCGCCCTGGGGGGGGCCAGCGGGCACCTCTGACCCTCCTCCCTGCTGCCCCCCAGACCTAGACTCGTCCACCGAGGACCCCATCTCGCCCAAGCGGAAGATGCGGCGCCGCTCAAGCTGCAGTTCGGAGCCCAACACGCCCAAGAGCGCCAAGTGCGAGGGGGACATCTTCACTTTCGAGAAGACAGGTGAGGTGGGGCCGGGCTGGGTGTGGGTGGCGCAGGGGCACAGGGTGGGGCTGACACGTGCCGGTGCTGCACAGGCTCGGAGGCGGACGATGTGCTGGGTGAGCTGGAGTATGAGAAGGTGCCGTACTCGTCGCTGCGCCGCACCCTGGACCAGCGCCGCGCACTCGTCATGCAGCTCTTCCAGGACCATGGCTTCTTCCCCTCAGGTCTGTGCCTGGGGTGGTCAGGGTGGGGGGCTTTCCACAGGGTGCAGCGCAGGGACTCCTCGCGCCCTGGCGGCCCAGCTTCCTCTTCTTTCCCACTTCCTGTCCCAAATGGCTGGGCGGCACGGCGGGAACTTCCTGGCTCACCTACCCCAGAGCCAGCTGCCCCCTGGGGTGTGATACCTGCATCAATGCTCACTCCAGAGCCCGCTGCACCCCAGGCCTGTGAAACCCAGTTAGTGTGTTGGCACCCGCCAGGGTGATCCTTAGGGGCCGAGCCCCAACATGCCGGCCCTCCCTGCTTCCCTGCAGCTGTGCTGACGCCCATCTCGTCCTTCCACAGCCCAGGCCACAGCCGCCTTCCAGGCCCGCTATGCTGACATCTTCCCCACCAAGGTGTGCCTGCAGCTGAAGATCCGTGAGGTGCGCCAGAAGATCATGCAGGCGGCCACGCCGGCTGAGCAGGCCCCCTCCACGCTCGAGCCAGGTGGCCCTGTGGCCCCAGCAGGCAGCAGCACTGGTGGCACCGAGGGGCAACCCCCAGAGCCGGCCGCGGGCCAGGACTCGGGCCCTGGGGCGGAGGGGCCAAGCGGGGCTGCCTGGGACAGCACGCAGCCCTCGCCACCAGGAGGCGCCGCCAGCAGCAGCAGCAGATGAAGAACCCCACGTGGGCCGGCTGGTCATAAACCACTGTGGGAGCTTCGCCCCGACGCCACCCCCCCGCCCTGCCACTGGGGGCCAAGACTTGCCCCTGCACCCGCCCTCCACGGACGCAGGTGGCACTGCTGCACCCACCATTCCAGGACGCAGGCCCCGCCCCTGCTGCCGTGGAGACCGTGGGGAGGGCGGGGCCGGGCATGAGGGCCACGGACACCTGTAAAGTGACCGACTCTTTTCATAACGTTAAATATTTTGAGACCTGATGTACTTGTTGCCTCTGTCCCCCATCCCTGCCACGGGAGGAGGCAGGGCTCGGCTGCCTTGGCCAGTCGGTACCCGTGCTCCAGCTACAGGATGGGCTCGGCGTTCGTGGCCACTCTGACTGCCGTGGCTGCACCCCGTGGGTGGAGGGCTCCAGCGTGGCCCCCCATGGGGTGCTGCAGGCAGCCCCTCTTGGGGGTGCCCCCTCCCCGCCCCTGGCACATGTGGATCATGGGGGTCTCCACCCCTGCCTCGCTATTAAAGCTCTTGAACAAGCTGCCGGCCCCTCCGTGTGTGTCTGCTCCCGCCGTGGCCCCTGCCCATGGGGACTCCACCTCACAGTTGCTGCATGGGTCCTGCAGCTGCCTAGCTGGGGACAGGAGCTGCCCAGCGATGGCCCTCGAGGCACTGGCCTGGGGGTTCCTGTATGGCTCCCCCGCCTTGTAACGGTTGGACCCGTCCCCTCCACTCCACCTGGAGGGCTGGGGGATACCATTCCCGTGGGAGGAGGGGGACTCCTGCAGAGGTGGTGAAAGGAGGTAGTGGTCAGTTTCCCAACCACTTGCCCCCCCCACGGGGGCTACCAAGCAGTTGCTTGTAGCTGCCCGCCCCCGTGTCCTGGCTGGGGTCGTGCCCAGGAGCAACGCGGGAGATAAATTCTGCCCCTACCCAGCAGGGACAGTGGTTTGGTCCACCGGGTAGGAACAGAGTTAAGTTGCCCCCCGTCCCGGGGTAGAATGGTCGCGTCCACAGTGCGCGCGGGCGGTTCCACTGCCCC